CCCCCCCGACACACACATGCACAGGCCCTGCCTATCTCCCCTGGCAGCTCCAGCTCAGTGATGTGTGTGGCTCATCTGTGTTCTCCATCCCTACCCACACAAGGCTCTTCTCCAAGTGTCTCCCTTCCACCCCCTGCCGCTGAGGATCTGAGCCGCAATAGAAACTCCGTCAGCCTCACCTGCCTGGTGCTGGGCTTCTCCCCCGACAATGTTGAAGTGAACTGGAAGGAGAGCAGCCACTTTGTCACCACCTCACCCGTGAAGGATGACAACTCAAAATACTTGGTCTATAGCATGTTAACAGTCGACTATAACAGCTGGAACAGAGGGGACATCTACACCTGTGAGGTCAACCATGTAGCTCTGACGTCACCGATATCTAAACAAATCCACAAGGGCTCCGGTAAATGAAGACGGCTTCTCCCAACCCCACCGCTAGCACTGTCTGGTAGATCTTCCTGTAAATACTTTCTGTGCCATCAGTGATGAGCAGTGAATAAATGAAACTAGTCTCAGCTCACACCGATGTCTTCTTGTTGTGCTGTCCCTGGGTAAAATCTGTGGGTTGTTCAAGGTGAAGAAACTGGGAGTTTCAGAGCTGGGAGATTTCAAAATACTCCAATGCTGAGGATACCAATATGCAGATTCTATGTGTGTGTGGGTACATCTCTAGCACAGAGGGATCGATAGCTACATGGCAAGATCCCATGGAAGGAAACATAAGTCCATGAAATGGAAGGGTGTACACATGAGTAGATGATGCGGAAGGAAGAGTGGGTGTTTATATAAGTAGATTACTGACTTATCTCAGAGCTGGAAGGGACCTTGGGAGGTGATCAAGTCCAATCACTTGTCTTCATGGGAGAATCAAATACCATCGCTAGCAGATTTTGCTACAGACCACTAAAAGGCCCCATAAAGAATTGAACTCACAACTTTGGCTTTAACACGCCTACGTTCAAACTACTAAGCTATCCCTTCCTCCACTGAAGTATTGGATGGGTGGATACATGAGTAGATGATGTGGAAGTAAGGCTGGGTAGATACATGTATGTTTGGAATCAACACCAATGGGGATGAACGGTGTCAGAAAAATGTAAATGCATGGTGATGGATGGATGGATGGGAAGATGGCAGCTGGCTGGGCAGGTACAGATGGTGAGTAATAGAGGGACGAGGATGAATACAAGGGTGAATAAGGCAATGGATGGATGGATAGATGACTATATATCAATGGATGAATGTGTGTTAAAGGAGAGAGATGGCAATGGATGCTGGGAGCTGGATATTACATAAAGAGGTAGCTATATAAGTAGATGGCATTAAGAGATGGGGTTGGATGGATGGATGGGTGGGTGGATATGAAGGTAGGAGTATGGTGTTCATAGGTCAATATGGAAGCATGAAAATTATGGGGGAATGGAGATTCCAGATAATGATTGGATGGGGCTTAAGATGCCTAGGCAGGTAGCTGGATTGCTGGGTGATTCATCCATCCTTGGCGTGTCGTTCAAGAACGATCCCCTCTAGGCTATTACCAGTGTATCAGCATCAACCTGCACCCCCCTCTGCACCTCCGACAGGAGCAGAAGACCCACAGGGATTTTCCAGACAGAGTCAGTGGGGGGTGGGGAGGGGAGGATGGGAGGTCATTCGAATACCCTGGTCCACATACACAATTCACCTGCTAGCTAAGAGGCCAAAGGCTCTCCCTCCACCTCTGTTGCCTCTGATACTCAGCAATAGTTGAAGAGGGGGAGCCAGGACGATATACAGCAAAGGGTCTAAGCCCTTGCAAAGTAACCAGAGTAGCAGGGCTGTTACACAGAGTATATGGTAAGCTAAAGTCCCGTTACCTCTGGTGACCTTGAGGGTCCATGTAGTGGCATGGCCCAGATGAATCAGATTCTGCAATTACCCCCCACATGGGCCCCATCTCCTACCTGCCCCCAGGGTCCCGCCATGTGCGTATCTGCCTCAGATGTGGATGGCTGAGAGCAGGGTTCATGTCAAGCAGTAACAAGCACAGAGCTGGCTCCTGGGGTTCAAAGATCAATGTCTGCTCTCTTGGGAGCTGCAGGTGGAGTTTCACACATTGTAGGAGAGTGGGTGGTTGGCTGAGTGAAAGACAAAGAGAGAGAGGAGAGCTCTACTCTGGTACAGATGGGCACCCCAGACACATGGAATGACACAGGTTTCCTCTCACTGGGCTCTCCTCTTGGTACACACAGAGACACCCAACACAGAGAGAGACAGACATGCCTCCACACCCATCCATGCACCTGTTCACCAAACACCTCTAGGGAAGGGGGCTTTCTAGTGTGGTGGAGGGACTAGAAACCATCATTCTCAGCTAGAAAACACCAATGGCTCTCTTTAGAATAGCCACAATGATCAACATCCCTAAATCCCACCCTTGGGTCAACTACAGGTTGTCCTTGTTGAAGCGGGCCCTGTATGATCAGCTCCAGAGACAGCTGCAGTGTCTCCTGGGTGTTCAGGATCATTGGGATGAGGGTTGTGGTGACAACTGCAGAATAACCCATCCATTCTAGTCTTTGCGGGCATCCCTGACCATGGCAACATCCTGGCACCTCACTCACTCCTATGGGTTTAGTCTCATAGGGCTCTCAAGCCAGCTTTTGCAGATAGGGAAGCTAAGGCACATTGTAATTTAACACCTGGCAAATTTCCACATTTGGGTGTATGGCTGCAGCCACATGGGATGAGTGAGAGGAGAAGTGGGAGGTTTTGCATCCATTTTATCTCTGTGGGCTGTGGTGGATGAATGCAATGGAGGAAACTTTGTGTGAGAGGCAAGGACGGGTGTGTCTAAAGATTGGCAGAGGGAGGCATCGATAGATAAATGAATAGATGGGTGTAGCTAGAGAGAGATGGATGCAGACTTGCTTCTTTGGATGACTGGATGGGTGGAGGTGGGCGGAGAGGAGGCAAAGGAGGCACGGATGAACGGACAGATGGGTGGAAGAAGGATATGAAGGCAGGGGACTGAACTCAATGACCTTTCAAGGTCCCTTCTAGTTCTAGGAGATAGGCAATCTCCATTAATCTATGGAGGATGGATGAATGTGTCTAAGGATGGATTGTTGGATGATTTGCTGCTATTGATGGATACATGTAGCTAGAGGTGCAATGGTGGAACCTCACCAATGGATATATGGAAGCATCTAAAATGGGCTGATGGATCAGTAGATGATTTGTGGTCAGGGATAAATGGAGGTCTGAGGATGGATGGATTCTTTGTGGGGTAGAGTTATCATTTGTAGTCATGAACAGATGGTTGTATCTGCAGATGACTTAATAGATGGATGGAGATGTTGAGGAGAAGATTGGTGGATGTATACATGGATTGTTTGTTAGAATGGATGTAGGGATGGATGGTTTCTTTCCTTCAGTGAATGGAGATTTAATTGTGTATGGACATGTTCATAGTTTCTGGTCATGGGTAGATAGATGGAAGGATGGATGCTTTTTTGTCATGGAAGAATGAAAGCATCAGCGGGAGTGAATGGATATGTCTAGCGATGGAAGGAGTGTGGCAGAGAGAGGCAGTGTCTAGAGATGGATGGATGTTTTGTGGCCAGGGTTGGATGGAAATACCCAGAGATCAAGATGTGGGTGCATGGAGGAGTTCATTTAGGATGGTGAGAGGCATGGAGGTGTCTAGGTATAAACCACTACATTGGTGGGTAATTTGTGATCATGCAGTATGGAAGTATCTAGAGAAGTATGGGAAAGAGACATAGATGGAAGAAAGGAGGTCTCTAGGAAGGGATTGTCAAATGGATAGATGGGTAATGGTCATGATTTAATGGGTGGTGAGTGGTGATGGATGGATGGATGGATGGATGGATGGATGGATGGATGGATCTAGGAATATATTGATAGGACAATGGAGCTTTTGTCATCATGTATGGATGGAAGTATCTATAGATGAAAGTGTAGAATAGTATTTATGGAAGGATGGAGGTGAGCAAGTTTGGACTTATGGATGGATAGTTGGCTTGTGGTCATGGATGAATGGATGAAGGATTGGGGGAGGGATTTATGTCAAAATGGATGGATTCTCTGTGGGGTGTATGGATGGTTTGTGGTCCTCGACAGATGGATGGATTAGAAATGCATGGGTGCAGGCATGGATGGATGAAGGTGACTTGGGATTCACATATGAATGGATCAGTGGGTGATTTGTGGCCATGGATGGAGGGATGTATCTAAAGCGGGTTATGTGGACAGGTATAGATAGATGCATGGCTGGATGGGTTGTGGTCATCGATACATGGAGGGTTTAGTGGGGATGGATATATGGAGGGATGCTTTGTAGGGATGTATGGATGGAGTTGTGAAAATGGATGGAAGAATATATCTACAGATGGAAGGAAGGAGACAGAGTGTGCTATGTCTTGGGATGGATGGATGGATGGTTTATGTGGATGGATGGATGGAGTGGTGAAGATAGATGGAAGTATCTAGAGAAGGAAGGAAAGAGACATAAAGGGTGATATGTAGGTATGGATTGTTCGTGCAGATGGATGGGTGGTTTGTGGGGATGGATGGGTGGCTTATGGCCAGGTTTAGATGAATGTTCCCAGAGACAGATGAGTGGAGAAATGGAATGATGGGTGAAGAAAAGGAGACCCAGACTGCTTTTGAGTGTGACATCTGAGCTTTCTCTTGCACGGGCTGACTCGGAGGTGACATCTATTTCTCTCCCCCACAGCAGAGGCGACGTCTCTTTCTCCCCCCTGCCCCCCAACAGAGGTGATCGTATATGGAGAGTATTGCACCGAGGACGGTGACGAAGAGATCGACAGCCTCTGGAGCACCATCTCGGTCTTCATCACCCTCTTCCTCGTGAGCGTGTGCTACAGCGCCACGGTGACCCTATTCAAGGTGAGAGAGGGTGAACGTAGCCAACCTAGCACAGCTGGGTGTACCACGGGAGGGAAGGAAAGACGGGAGGCACGAAGGAGAAAAAAGAACAGTTTCAGGAGACACCGGCTGAATGAAGGAGACACACAGAGAGAAACCAGACAGAATGATACTGACGTGCAGACAGACAGAGCAGCTCCCCACCCCCAGCTCTGACCCCCTCTCACCTCTGCTCTCTCTGTCCTCCCCCTTTGCAGGTGAAGTGGCTTTTTGCCACCGTGGTGCAGCTGAAGCAGGAGACTGGCCCCGAGTACAAGAACGTGATGCAGCGTGTGGTGTAGGGGGCGCATCCCCCTTTCTCTGGCATCGCCGTCCTGACTCTCACAGTGCCCTCCTGCAGCTCGGTGCCCTGGTAGATCCCTCCGGTGCAGGGAGAGAACAACTCATCTCTTGAGGCCTCCTCAGCCCTCAGCCGCTTGGCGCGCTGCCCTGCCAAGACCTGGGCTGTGACCGGGCACCGCGGGTCATGCCGGGAGCCAGCGCCCCAAGCAAGGAACCAGCCCGAGTCCCACATCCTCCTGCGCCCAGCACTCCCCTGCTGTGGGACTGGGTGGGAGCCAACATTCCCAAGAGGAGAAAGTGCCCACGTCCCGGTCCCTGCTCCCCCAACCCAGCCAGCCCCTGGAACTCTCCCTTGGTCAGAGCCAGCGCCCCCTAGAGGAGAAAGTGCCCACGTCCCGGTCCCTGCTCCCCCAACCCAGCCAGCCCCTGGAACTCTCCCTTGGTCAGAGCCAGCGCCCCCTAGAGGAGAAAGTGCCCACGTCCCGGTCCCTGCTCCCCCAACCCAGCCAGCCCCTGGAACTCTCTCTTGGTCAAGCTGAGCGCCCCGTAGAGGAGAAATTCTCCTTGCTCCATTTCCCCAAACCCACCCCACCGCGGCCAATCTCCCACACTGGAGCGGGGCTGCAGTTGTGGTGCTGTGTCTTGCATATTGAGCTCTTCGCTGGGATTTGTGTGTGACGTGTTTGAGACTTTCGTTGTTTGCACTGAGTAACAATAAATAAATAGTGGCACAACTCAGGCTCCGTTTCTTGCTCAACCCCTCACTTGAGAGGACCCTTGAGACCCACCAGACGGGCACATTGTGTGTGTAGGGGGCACCTCCAGGTAAGGTCAATAGTTGTAGGGCGCACTTTGCCCTCAGTGGGAGCCGGGCGGGGGGGAGGGTAGCAACAAACCCAGAGATCTGGGATTGCATCCCTCAGCTCCTCAAGGCTGGCAGGAACGGGTGGGAAATGGATGGATAGAAAGAAAGAAAGAAAGAAAGAAAGAAAGAAAGAAAGAAAGAAAGAAAGAAAGAAAGAAAGAAAGAAAGAAAAAGAAAAGGGGATATGTTTGGTCATGTGGGTATGTGAATATACAGAGATGGATGAATGGATGTGGGAAGGGAATGAGAGAAGGATTTTTCAAGTGGTGAGATACCAGCTGGACCCAGACACACTGTGAGTAGCATTTTCCTTGGTCAACTTCCCCAAAGCCACCCTGAAACGCTTCTCACAATTTCCAACTCATTTTATTTTGGCTCTGGCTATGTCTAGACTGCAGGCTTCTTTCGAAAGAGGCTCTTTCGAAAGCATCTTTCGAAAGAGCCTCTTTCGAAAGATCGCGTCTAGACTGCAGGCGGATCTTTCGAAAGAGAAATCCGCTTTTTCGAAAGAGAGCACCCAGCGAGTCTGGATGCTCTCTTTCGAAGACGGCCTCTTTACATTGAAGAACGCCTTCTTTCGAAAGAGGAACTTTCGAAGGAAGGCGTTCTTCCTCGTGAAACGAGGTTTACCGCCATCGAAAGAAAAGCCGCGTTCTTTCGAAATAATTTCAAAAGAACGCGGCTTGAGTCTGGACGCAGGGGAAGTTTTTTCGGGAAAAGGCTACTTTTCCCGAAAAAACCCCTGAGTCTGGACACGGCCTCTGTGACGACACAGACTTATCCCATGAGGATATTTCAGTCCTGTAACAAAATCTTTATTTTGGAGTGAAAGATTTACCTTGTATATAAACATTTGAACAGTAAAAAGAGAACTTTTTTTTTTAACCGTTAGCACATTTTCCTTACTGATAGGCTGCGTCTAGACTGGCATGATTTTGCAGAAATATGTTTAACAGAAAAGTTTTTCCGTTAAAAGTATTTCTGCAAAAGCACATCTAGATTGGCACAGTCTAGATGCGATTTTGTGCAAGAAAGCTCCGGTGGCCATTTTCACCATCGGGGCTTTTTTGCACAAAACAGACCTTCCCTCTCTACACTGTATTCTTGCACAAGAGGGCTTTTTCCCGAGCGGGAGTGTGAAAGTATTTGTGCAAGAAGCACTGATTTTATACTTTACAAAGTCAGTGTTCTTGTGCAAATTCAAGCGGCCAGTGTAGACAGCTGGCAAGTTTTTGCGCAAAATCTTGCCAGTCTAGATGCAGCCATAGTGTTTCTAATAAAAAACCAATGTCTGCTTACAAAGAGAACCAGGAAAAGGGTGAGGGTAGTGGAGGGACAGGTAGGGTGGGCCAGGCCAAAACCCCCATGGGCGAGTAAGTGGGTTCCTTCTGAGAATCTCGCCCTCAAGGCCTCTTGGATTCGGACACCAGACTGGTGAGCCTGGCGGATGGCAGCCATCCAAGGCTACTCAAATGGCATCCCCTTTCCATCAGCACCTGCCCCCACCCCGGTAGGAAGGCCTCCCCTTTCCTCTCCACCAGGTTAAGGAGGACACAACATGCGGCCACTGCCTCCGGGATGTGGCGTTTGCCCATCTCTAGGTGTGTTAGGAGGCAACGGAACCTCCCTTTCAGCCGTCCGAAGGCGCATTCCACCTGGATGCGAGCCTGGCTAAGATGCATGTTATAAAGATCTTTGCTCGCATCCAGGTGGCTGGTGTAGGGCTTCAGGAGCCACGGCATCTGGGGGTAGGCCACGTCGGCCATGACGCACACCGGCATCTGCACATCCCTGGGCATGAGATCCCACTGGGGGAAAAATGCTCCTGCCTGCAACCTGTGGTATAGGTAGGAGTTGTGGAATATGCGGGCATCATGTGCCCGCCCTGACCACCCGACACAAATGTCCATAAAATGTTCCTGGTGGTCGACCAGGATAGGCAACACCATCAAATAGAAGCCCTTCCTGCTTATAAATTGGGCTTCTCGATGGGGCGGTGCACGGACTGGGATGTGTGTCCCATCGAGGGCTCCTCCGCAGTTCGGGAAGCCCAGGGCACCAAACCCGGCAATGATGTTGTGCAGGTCCCCAAGACGGGCAAGCCTCTTCAGCAGCTTCTCATTGATGGCCCTCACCACCTGCTGCACGAGACAAATAGACAGACAGAAAACAGGGAATTAGACAGGTTTCCTAAGCACTTTGGGGGGGGACCCTGTCCCCCTCCCAACCCACCCCTCCCCTTGTTAGGATTCCCCCTTCCCCCGCATCAGTGCAGGGGTGGCCAAGGAGTCACCTCCAATTGCCACTCTATCCCCCACTCCCTCTTGCCCTTGCTTGGCAGTCCCCCACACTCAGCAGGGCCTGTCCCCCGAAAGTGACTTACTTCCATCAAAATGGCCCTGACAGTAGACCTCCCGATGCCAAACTGGTGTTCCACGGAGCGGTAGCTATCGGGGGCACCCAGCTTCCAAAGGGCAAATGCGACCCGCTTCTGCAGGGGGATAGCGGGCTGCAGGTGGGTGTCCTGGTGTTCCAGAGCAGGGGCGAGCCAGGCACAGAGCTCCAGAAATGTGGCCTTCCACATCCGGAAGTCGCGGAGCCACTGGTTGTCGTCCCAGAGCCCCACGACGAGCCAGTCCCACCAGTCTGAACTCGTCTCATGCCTCCAAATCTGCCTGTCCCCCAAAAAGTTTGGGGGCAAGGGCAGAGCTCCTGCATCCCGGACAAAGGTCTTGTAGGTCTGGTCCAGGTCCATATGGGGCAGGAGATTCATGACAGAGTCATGAAGATGCAGCAGAAACTGCTGTACGGCAGCGTGAGGCCATCGCCTGCCCAGGGGCAGCTCAGGTTCCATAGTCAAAACATAGTGCAAAGCAGGAAAAAAAATAAACTGCTGTGGTGTCCAACAAAGCAGGGCAACCTGAACAAGCACTGCATCTTCTTTTCTTTCCCTCTAAGAGGTAGGCAAGCGAGAAGCAGGAGCAGAGCAATGGCTGGTCGGGGGAATCCCTTTAAGCATGCGTCTCTGCAAAGGGCATGCAGCAGCACCAGGAAGTGAAGGCTGCCCCTTTATCCTACCAGAAGCAGTTCCAGGTCCGTTTTTTTACTCGAAATAGAGTCCAGTAGTCTGGATGCTCTTTTTCGAAAAAGCGGATCAATTTTCGATCTGCGTAATGCAAGCTAGATGCTCTTTTTCGGAAGAGGCTTTTATCTTTCGATAAAGCCTCTTTCGAAAAAGGCATGTAGTCTAGACATAGCCAGAGTAGCAGTGGATGGTCACATGGTGGGCAGTGGAAGGTCACATGTTGGGTCACATGATGGTCACATGGTGGATAGCCAGAGGGTGGATGGTGGATAGTCATATGGTGAGTGATGATGGCCACATAATGGGCAATGCATAGTCATATGGTGGATGGTCACATGCTGGGCGGTGGAGGCTCAGTAGTTCCAAGGGTGGTTGATAGCTGGGTATTGGTGGCAGCATGGGGATGGCGTCGGATGGATGACCGAGCACTCAGCACCGGTCATTGCTATAGGCTCTGAAGTGCGACCGGGCAGGCGACGGTGGCTTTCACCTTCAGCAGCGTGACACCGGTGCTGTACACCAGGCTGAGCAGGAACAGCGCGATGAAGATAACGGGAGTCCAGAGACGGTCCGATTCCCCCTCTCCTTCTTCAGCACAGACCCCTTGGTCCTCCACCAGGCAGAGAGGAGCTGGGGAAGGGATAAACAGGGCAATTAGAGAGGCTTCTTCCTTAACTCCTATTTTGGGACCTTGGGAAGTTGACCACAGAGCTCTTCTGAGACTCCCCTGACTCATATAATTCCAGAAGCAACATCATCTGATGAACGGGGAACTAGGATGGGACACAGGTCTGAGTGCAATCGGGGTACAAAGCTCAACAAGGACATCTAGGTGTCCTACTGGGGCCATCGCATGGCGGAAAGGGTTCTAGGGGTCATAGTGGACCACAAGTTGAATATGAGTCAACAGTGTGATGCTGTTGCAAAAAAAGCAAATATGATTCTAGGTTGTATCAACAGGTGTGTTGTAAGCAAAACTCATGAAGTCATTCTGCCGCTCTACTCTGCACTAGTTAGGCCTCAGCTGGAGTACTGTGTCCAGTTCTGGGCGCCACATTTCAAGAAAGATGTGGAGAAATTGGAAAGGGTGCAGAGAAGAGCGACAAGAATGATTAAAGGTCTAGAGAACATGGCCTATGAAGCCAGGCTTCATGAACTGGGCTTGTTTAGTTTGGAAAAAAGATTAAGGGGGGACATGATAGCGGTTTTCAAATATCTGAAAGGGTGTCACAAGGAGGAAGGAGAAAATTTGTTCCTCTTGGTTTCTGAGGACAGGACAAGGAGTAATGGGCTTAAAGTGCAGCAGGGGAGGTTTAGATTGGACATTAGGAAAAAATTCCTAACTGTCAGGGAGGTCAAATATTGGAATAAATTGCCAAGGGAGGTGGTGGAATCTTCCTCTCTGGAGATATTTAAGAACAGGTTAGATAGACATCTGTCAGGGATGGTGTAGACAGAGCTTGGTCCTGCCTTGAGGGCGGGGGGCTGGACTCGATGACCTCTCGAGGTCCCTTCCAGTCCTATGATTCTATGGGAAAGGGTCTCCCAAGGACTCCATTCCAATGTATGTTCCTAAAAGGGAAAAGATCCGTGGCCAATCCCCACCTTTGCATGACAGCTGTCTTCGCTCAACATGGATGGGGTAAGACTTTTCAACCCCAAACAGAGGATTCCTCTGGGCTAAGGAGTAGTTTTAACTCCTGTCTCTATAGGGAGGGGGGTCCATGGCCCATCACTCATATCCAGAGCCTTCCATGGGAAGTTCTGTGTAGTTAACATATTCCACACATGGGATGGTTGGATAGTCCTCCAAGAGCAATGTATTCACAGAATCATAGACCACAATGGGGAGAAAGCACAAGAGGTCATCATGTCCTGTCCCCTGCCCTCACGGCTTGGACCAAGAGCCATCTAGAGCATCCCTGAGAGATGTCTGTTAACCTGCTCCAGCGAAGGAGATTCCCCCACATCCTGAATCAATTTATTCCACTGCTTAGCGACCCTGACATTTATAACTCTCCATGCCATCGAACAAGGGGTCACGAAATGAAATGGATAGGCAGCAGGTTCAAGACAAACAAAAGACATTTTTCTTCCCTCAGTGCACAGTCAACCTGTGGAACTCCTTGCCAGAGGATGTGGTGAAGACTTTAACAGGGTTCAGAAAAGAGCTAGATAGATTCACAGAGGTTAGGTCCATCAATGGCTATTACCCAGGATAGGTAAGGATGGTGTCTCTAGCCTCTGTTTGTCCGGAAACGGGTGACAGGAGAGGGATCACATGATGATTCCCTGTTGTGGTCCCTCCCTCTGGGGCATCTGGTTTTGGCCACTGTTGGCAGACAGGATGCTGGACTGGATGGACTGACCCAGTCTGGCCGTTCTCATGCTCTTATCGTCTAAATTGTTGATGAAGATATTCCAGCCACTTGCCTTCCTGTGCTGCACTGAGGCAAGACTCCTCAGATGTCCATGATGACCATCTGGTCTCACTCCCTGCATCGCCCAGACCAGAGAAAACCACCCACTGATCCCAGAATGCAACCCAGGGATCCCTCCAGAGTGGTTGGGAAGACTTCTTCTTATCTGCAGCTCATGTAGGCACCAGACCTACAGTTGACGCTTTGATCCCTGACCTACAATGACTTGGCCAACTCTACAAAAAGGGGGAAAGTTATGGTCACACCAAGAGCCACACCCCATATTTCCTCGGTCCCATGTCAGCACAACCCCGAGCCACCCTGACTGCAGACAGGAGGTGCAGACATGACTTCTGTGCTTTATTAGTATCTGTCTGGGCCTGGCTTCCGGTCTTTGGTTTCTCTTAAGCCCTTTTATACAAAATCACCCTACACGGGTGCGTCTATGCACCGCGGAGGTCCTTGGTTGAGTGTGTCTTTTATAAACAAAGCCGATTCGGCTCCTAACTTCTTCCACTTGGAAGAGTTTTCTCCAACCCTCAAGTCCATTTTTTGGCTCTTCCTTTGCCCTCTTTCCAATATTCTAGCCTCTGTTTTGAAGGTGTAGACATAAGGATGGCCAAGGGTCCATCGAGCCTTTTGGGAGGTCTAGGGTGGATATGAGGAAAAATCTATTTCCCTAGGTGGGTGGGGAATCACTGGAATGGGTTCCCTAGAAAGGTGGTAGAATGTCCATCACTAGTGGTTTATAAGTCTCAGTTTGACAAAGCCCTGGCTGAGATGATTGATTTGGGTTGGTCCTCCTTTGGGTAGGAGGCTGGACATGATGACCTCCTCGATGACCTTCCAACCCTAGGAAATTATGACATTCTGTGACCCTGGGATCCTGTCTCCCAAATGGCTCATTCCTGATGCATCAGAGGGAATAACCAAACCCGGGCAACTGTTGGGTGACCCCTCTGCGGTCCTATAGTCCCAGCCTCGTGACAGACAGAGGCAGAGGGTCAACTAGCACTTGGGTTTCATCTTGGTTAACAGCCATGGATAGACCGATTCTCCGTGAACAGATCTGATTCTCCTCTGAGGCCCCATCATTCTTTGGGCACTCACAGGGTCCCTCGTCCACAGTGGTCGCATGAGGAAGGACCAGCTTGTATTTGCTTCAAACCTGCTGCCATTGAATTTCATCGGTTGACCCCCAGGTTCTTTTGCTTTGGGGTGGGGAAGGTCACCCTACCAAATTGGCTTCCTCCAGAACAATTTCACAGAACCTCTGTCATGTTCCCCTTGAACTTCTCCTTGCCCAGCTAACATGTCCTAAACTCTTTCCTTGTACGGAAGCTGTTCCCCGCCCCTCTTCAATTTTGTCCCCTTTCTCTGCCCCGCTCCCCTTTCTAATACGTCTTTCTTAATATGGGGCAAACAAGGTGGCAAGTAGAATTCAGGATGCGGCTGCTCCATCCATGTATGGAATTAAATGCATGATGATCTGTCCTTTTCCTTGCATTGTTCCCTTCTCCGGCTCTCCCTGGGTTTTGACTCCAGATCTGACAGCTGTGTGCTAGTATGGCTCTTCCAAACCCCAAACACAGAGATGAACTACATCCCCATGCCTCTGTTAGCAACAGCCAGGGACTGAGCTGGTGGGAATGAAAGCTCCTAACTCATTTCCCACCTAGCTGGCTGCAGATACGACACCAGATCCCTGGGGACTCTGAGTCTGCCCCGGATGTCAGGTGTGGTCCCATCCCCTAAGGGTGTTGGTGCTATATTGTTGCTAGTTAGGGGCAATGATTAAGAAACAAGTTTTGAAGGTGGTGATCCAGGCTTTGTTAGGATCTCACACTGACCTGAGAGAAGGCTCTGAGACTGAGGTCTTTGATGGGCTTTTAAAGAATTAGATGCCAGGGAAATAATTTCCTAATTCCAGTGGGGAGTGGGTATCTTGCTCCACCGAGCATCCCAATTTGAATCCCTTTTCTGCCCCATTGCTCCTGGACTTTTGCTGTGAGTGTTCCTGCCATGCCTACCACCATGGGACCCTAGCCTCGGTCAGGACATATAGGGTCTTTAGCAACATGAATAATACTGGAGAGAGAAGCAGGCACTCCTGAGGGCAGGTAGAAATATGACACTGCATGGGGGTGGATACTTGAAGAGAGGCCATTGCATCATTTAGCATGACATAGCATGACAGGGTCAGGCCAGAAGTATACAAAAGCACAATGGAAGAGAAATGTATTAGCCACAGCCTGAGCAAATCTCTGTTCCCTAGGTAAACTGGCAGGGGTGAATCTAGATCCAGCGGGGACTTGCCGGAATCAGTCAGGACAATTAAGCACCTGGAGCTAATTGAACGGGCTTGCAGAGTCAGGTGAGCCGAGATTAGTTGGCACCCCTGGGCCAATTTAATGAACCAGCTGAGACTGGTTGTAGAGAGAGCGTCTCTGTAGTGAGCGCGCGAGGAGCTGGGAGGACGGAGGAGTGCTGCAGGGAGTGGAGGAGGAACAAGGATCAGTGGATACTGGGAGGAATTGCCTGAGAGAAGGAAGGTGCTGGGAAGTAGCCCAGAGGCTTGTAACTGTCTTGTAGCTGATACTGGAAACTCTTCCAGGCAGCTGCTATTACGGGGCCCTGGGGTGGAACCCAAAGCAGAGGATGGGCCCGGGCCCCCCCCCCAAAATTCATTTCCCATTTCCATTGGGGGAAAAGACTGGCAGGGGAGAATTAAATTAATGGAGATTGCCTATCTCCTAGGAAGGGACCTTGAAAGGTCATCAAGTCCAGTCCCCTGCCTTCACAGCAAGACCAAGTACCATCCCTGACAAATTTTTGTCCCACGTGGCTTCCGCAAGGATTGAACTCACAACCCGGGGTTTAGCACGTCAATGCTCAAACCACCGAGCGATCCCTCCCCAGCTGGGTATCATTTAGAGGTCCCACGAGACTCTGGAGATCCGTTTCTCTCTGCACCTTCTGCTGACCGTGTATGAGAGAAGCTGTACAAGCAGCAAGCTGAGATCCCATCTATGGTGCCTGAATTGCGGTCTGATGTGAGCCTCTGAGGCCAGCAAGCAGCCTGAAAGTGCAGGACCTATCAAGTTTGAGTAGGACCTTGGTCACAATAGATAGATATTGTTGAGCCATAGAGACAGCTGCTGTGGAAAGTAGGGTGGGTGGATGGGGTGGGCAGATATGGATAGATGGTTGGATGGATGGATGGATGGATGGATTTGGGATTCATGGGGAATTGGATGGATGGATGGATACTGTAGAATGACAAATGCGGATATATGATGCATAAGGACAGAAGAACGGCTAGAAAGAAGAAAGGGTGGATGGTTGGACCCTACATATTACCCTATTATAAGAGTTACTATAGAGAACTTTCTAGGTGTCTGGCTGGTGAGTCTTGCCCACATGCTCAGGGCTTAGCTGATCGCCATATTTGGGGTCGGGAAGGAATTTTCCTCCAGGGTAGATTGGCAGAGGCCCTGGAGGTTTTTCGCCTTCCTCTGTAGCATGGGGCACAGATCACAGCTGGAGGATTCTCTGCATCTTGGGGCCTTCAAAGTATTTGAAGGCTTCAATATCTGAGATATAGGTGAGAGGATTATTCTAAGAGGGGTGGGTGAGATTCTGTGGCCTGCACTGTGCAGGGGGTCAGACTAGATGATCACAATGGTCCCTTCTGACCTTAAAGTCTATGAGTCTATATTGTGGGGCGATACAACAAGAGACACAGAGGCAATTGCTGCTGGATGACACCCCTTCATCAAAAAATTCCAGAGTGTTTCATTTTTATTCAGCCATATTTCACACACAGCTATTCTCAGCATGCCAGAGCTCCCCCTGTTTTACCCTTATTGTACAAGGAATGTGAGACCCCAGGAGGCCCCAGGGCCATCTCCCGTACAGCCTGAGAACCCCACAAAAGTTCACAGGGCACTGCTCCTCAGTGGCAAGCAACTTCAGTGTCAGACAAGACCACAGAGACATTGACGGCGGTGGGTTTACTGGAGGCTTTGTCCACACTCTGTTGGGTGAAGATCTTGGGCAGGCCTTCATGCCCCACCATGCAGGAGTAGGTGTCCCCCTTCTGCCATTCAGAGGCCTGGATTCTGAGCTTGCTGTAGATGAAGTAGCTCTCCTCCTCCCCAGCCTCCCGCATGGGGCCGATGTGGATGTAGGCATCCTGTGGAATGGGGCGGTCCTTCTGGGTCCATGTGACCAAGATGTCTTTGGGCTGGAAGCCGGAGGCCAGGCAGGTGATGGTGGCCCATTCCTGGAGAGCCAGCTCGTCCACATGAGGAGGAGAGACGTAAACAGAAGGGGGCCGTAAAGAGATCTCTGTCACAAGGAAACACCAGTTAATGGTGGGAATGGGACCCAAAAATCCAGCCTGCCATCCCTATGGTAATTACCCACCTCTAGCCCACTAGACTCAGGGGGAGGGATATCTCAGTGGTTTGCGCATTGGCCTGAGTTCAATCTTTGCAGAGGCCATTTGGGGCAAAAATTTGTCAGGGATGGTACTTGGTCCTGCTGTGATGGCAGGGGACTGGACTCAATGACCTTTCAAGGTCCCTTCCAGTTCTAGGAGATAGGAAATCTCCATTAATTAATTGTTTTTTAGACTTCACTGCCCTCTTAGAGTTATGAAAAGGGGCTAGAACCAGGGGCCATGGCTCCAAGCCTTGGCAATCTCACCTGTTCTCCTAGTAGAGACAGCAAAAGGACCCAGGAGTCCTGACTTTCCCTCCCCTTCCCTCTCATGCATGTTCTCAGTTCATCGCACCCATGAATTTTTAACATCTAAGCTCACCGACCTGCAGACAGACCAGAACTAGAACCCCATAGAGTCACAAGGCCTCCTGGAGAATTTGCCATAGTCTGAGTGAGCCAGTGCCCCCAGCCTGGGGCCAGATTAGACCTGGTGCTGCCCCATCCCATATAGAGCTTACCGAGATTTTTGTGGATCCTCTTCACAATGACCAAAGGGATATCTTGGTGCTTCACGGTGCAGGTGAACTCCTCCCCGGCCTGCCACTCCTCCACACACACCCGCAGGATACTGGCTGCACTGTAAGTGCCATTTGGATGCAGCACTGGCTCCTTGGAGTCCACAGTCAATGGGCCTCCGTTTCCCCTGCTCCAGGAGATCTCCAGGCTGCTGGGGTTCTCCATGCCACTCACCAGACAGGTGATGGTGGCGTTCTGCATGACGTAGAGCTCTTCCAGGGATGGGGGGAGGAGGAAGACCTCCATAGGTGTTTGATTACAGTCGCTGCCACCTGGTTGGGGGCGGGAGGCAGCATTGAGCGAATACTCACCAGGCACCAGGTGGAAATTGAGTGCCTTTCTTTTGGGGCTTCAAAGCCCAGGGGGTGTTTGGGGAAGGGGCTGAGGTCACTGGGGTGGGAAATAGAGTTTGGGGCTCCCAGATGGAAAAGGCAGGCTCTTCCTCTTTTAGGGCATCAGGGGATTTCCTACCCACCTAGGGGCTGGGATACTTGGGTCTCATGGTGGTTATTTAGCTCTTTGCCCCCCATAAGCAAATCTAAAAGTCTCCTGCTCCATTGAGGGAGTAGATTGTAATTAAGCAACTGTCGTGGTTGCAGATCCGGGAAGGAACAGAAGGGATCAGAAGGACCAAATCCACGGTGGGAATCCACTTTGAAATGTGAAGCAAATCGTTCCCACAAAGGCCCGTGATTCGGCGGAATCCACTTTGAAATGTGAAGCAAATCTTCGGTGGGGAAGAAATGTTTCAATAAACCCGTCTTCCAGCCATGCAATTTCTCCAAGAACAAGAGTGCCCACCCAATGTCATGGCTGAATTATGGCCCAACGGGATTCCATGCTGCTTCCTCCCTTACCCACTTACCAAAGAAGATCTTTTCCACAACAGTCTTGGGCTTGCTCAAGGCTGGGTGATTCACCACGCAGGTGCAATTTTCTGCTCCTTCACTTAGATCAACCTTCAGGATGCTGTAGGCCGAGAACGTACCACTTCCTGACGCAGGGCCATTGTTGTAACTGGACCTGAGGACCGGGGAGTTGTTCTTCAACCAAGAGATGCTGATGTCTTCAGGGGAAAAGCCACTAGCTTCGCAGATGAGAGTCAAAGACAACCCTGAGAGGTCTTCATGGTAAGCTCTTGAGACGGTGATGGAAGGCTCCTTCTTGCTGATACCTGGATGGAAAGGAAGAGGGCAAGACAAGAATAAGACTTGGTTGCACAACTAAGGTAGGGACATAGATCCAGCAACTATCACTCTGTAAAAGGACTAGGAAGAGCAAAGGTTGAGGATTAGTGTGAAGTTAGACTAGGCCAAAGAAAACTCCAATCACTGAGCATTATCTTTCTTGAAACTCAAAGGCCCTAGAGATTCAATTGAACTTCGAAGTCTTAGAATGCACAATGAAATCCCATTTCCTCATCATGACATGGCAATAACTTAGCATCTTCATCAGTATATTCAACTTCTTCACCTCCATCATCTATATGATCACTGCCTTCCTTGTTATCCTCATCTTTGTCAGATCATGACCTCCATGGTCATCCTCTTCCTCTTCCTCATTTTCTCCAGGATTGTGATGTTCTTTCTCTTCTTCTCCTTCAGCGCTTTCCTGACCTTCTTTACTGTCATCGACACCATCTTCATATCCTTCCAGATCATCAACATGCTCCTCTTCCTCAGCTTGGTTTTCCCTTCATGCAGATGGGCTCTGGGACTGAAGCTCTTCCTGCCACCCGAAAGTGAACCCTCACCCCAAACTTTAGACCTCACCCCTCCTCTCCACCACAAGTCCGCCCCATCCACCATCATGACATTTGGCCACCAGCCCATCTCCTCATCCAGAGTCTCTGTCCTCCTTCAAATGCTCACAGCAAAATTAATCATGGTCAGGTTTTCAAAGGCTGGCTAAGGGATTTGGACACCTTGAGAATTTCAGTAGGATTTGTGAACCTAATTCCATTGGGCTCTCTCACAAATTCTCACCCAAAATATCCCTGAAAGGCCTGGTGCTAGGTAACAAACACCATCCTCATATCGAGATGTGAGATATACATATGTCCATCAGATCAGAGTCCAAAATAGCACATTAAGGGTATGTCTAGACTACATGGCTCCATTGATGGAGCCATGTAGATGCGTTTACTAGACATAGGAAAATGAAGCGGCAATTTAAATAATCACCGCTTCAGTTACATCAAAATAGCCGTCATGCTGTGCCAATCACGAGGCATAATGGAGCGGTCAACAAGGGCTTCTCTTGTCAACTGCGGCACGTCCAGACTACTGCGCTGTGCCGCCAGACAGCTGATCGGCACAGTGTGGCAGCCATTTTGATGTTAATGAAGCTTCTTCATTTTCCTATGTCTAGTAAACTCATCTAAACAGCAGGGCTTAAGTAGAAATATGCTACGCAAATTGAGCTACCTCAATGGCGTAGCTTTTTTCAAAATCACTTCTTTCAAAATTGGGAACGTCTTGCACAGCACATTTTTCGAAATAGAGCACTCTTCTTCGGACTTCCCTTATTCCTCCTACAATGAGGGTTGCAGGAATCAGAATAAGAATCCCTCCAGCTTGGCAGTATTTCAACATTATTTCCAAATAACTGCCTGCTGTATAGACGTGGCCTAAGTTATTTTGGAATAACGCTAGTTATTTCAAAATAAAGTTGCTGTGTAGACATACCCCAAGTGCCTCACATACCAAATCCCAGGGAACTAAGAAAGTGACATTCTGGGAAGAGTTGGCATTTAATGATGAGAAGGCAGGGAATGCTGGGAAAATCACTCAAGTGGAAATTAATGATGCCCTCATGAAAGGCTTAATTGCTACCTTAATGTCAGCTTAGGACTTGTGTGGGGTGAGCTTCACCCTCTAATCCCAGCTAGGAATGCCTAGAGAAATGACTTTCCCTTTGCCTTTGAAAGACTACTCACCTTTATTGACCATGGTTATCTCCTCGGTGAGTTCTCCAGAACAGAGCGTGCTCACTTTGCAGGCAAATCTGGTGCCTTGTCCCCACTGTGCCCGTGACACTGGGTGGGAGCTGACCAGGCTGGTGGTTCCATTGATGTTCTTCTTGGGAGCTTCTGTCTTCCCCGCAGAACTGACCCGTCCGTCCACCTCCCAGATGATTGCAGTGGCTACAGAATCGTAACCCAAAACTAGACAGGACACACGGCCAGAATTCTTGATCACTTCTTCATAGGCGGGTTTCGTCAAGTAGATGTTTGGCTCAAGGGCACTTTTGGGACAGGCTGTGAAATGCAAAGAGAACAGGAGAAATAATGTGGGAAGGCAAAAACGACACTTAATCTCTTCCAAATTCTACAGAGCGACCCAACGACTTTCCATAACAAACCCTGGAAATTAGTGCACACAAATGTGTTTGTTTAGAAACATTTAAGGATGCATGAAGGCTCATCTCATCCACTCACAACCTTAAAATCCTGGGAAACCCATGAGAAGAGGTTCCTGGGTTCCTTCTATCAGGTACCCATCCCCCAAAATACCGTGGCCAATGCACCATAACCAGTTGGTCTATCTACCTCTGTGAGGTATATCTCTAGTGAAATATCTACCGCGCCTTAGAATCCTAGACAAGGGGGTTTAGAAGAGATCTCAGCAGGTCTAGTCCAAGCTTATGCTCCAAGTTGGACCAAGAAGCTTCATCCTGTGGCCCTCTTATTATTGATCTATTCACCCCTTCCATCACATCTATAGCATCCCTCCCTCCTGTCTCTCTCTGTTTCCATCCATCTACAGTATCGACCTGTCTACTGTATCTCCACCTCTCCCATCACCCTGGCTTCTAGGTGCAGCCACTCCTTCCTTTAGTCTTCTCATTAACCCTCCAAACCCGCTTCCCACCCTGCGCGGCCGTAGCCCCTCACCCAAGCATTTGCTGGTGTTGTGCATGGAGGGCTCCGTTCCCCATGCTGGATGGGTGACTTGGCAAGAGAAGACGTCCCCGTTCTCCCAGCTCTGCCTGGAGACCTTCAAGGAGCTCTGGCCCATGTAGGCGCCATCGGTGCCCAATGAAGAGGAGAAGGCCGGGGTGGGGAGACTCGTTGCTTTTCCATTCACCAGCCATTTCACCTCAGCATTGCTAGGGCGAAAGGTCAGGAGAAGGCAAACCAGCTCCAGCTGGCTCTCTGTGCAGCTGTCCTCACAGGAGGGGACCAGGAGGCGAACCTGGGGTGGCATCATCGAACCGCATGCTAAGAGCAGAGAGAAAGGACAACACAGTTCAGTGTCTCTTTGTAGATCCTCCTCCAGGGTGAGTCATGACACTGCGCCCATCCCAGCCCTAGCAAAACCCTCCCTCTTTGAGATAAGTTTACCTGTGCTATTTTATTTGGCCTCTAGGGCTGAGATTTCTCATAGCCAAAAAAGGTATTAAAGCAAATGGGAACAGGGCCCGTAAATTTTATAGGCAAAGGTTCTATGCCTCCCTGGGTTGTTTTTGCATGTGTTGCATGAAATGCATTCTCCCTGGTAAACAGCGGGGACAAAGCTGGAACTGGAGCAGTGTTTGTTTGAACTTGTTTTCCTCAATAACTGCCCTCACCCCTGTTCCATTGGAATGTCAGCTGCAGTCAAGGGAAGGTGTCTGGCTCCTTGTTGAGGAAAGCATCTCAGAGGGAAATCTCTACATGAGGACCAGGAAGGAGGACTAGGAAACATCCAGGAAAGGGGGGTGTCTGCCCGAGCCAGCCAGCTGTACACTGGGGGAGCCTCTGGTGCCTGGGAACCAGTGCTCTAAGTTGAACAAAGCTGGGTTTTGCAATGGAGGGGAGTTTGGTCTTCAGTTTACATTCCTGGCAGGTGTATCAACCCATCAGATTACAAGCAGTTGGAGTTAGGATTAGGGTTACAGTTAGGAGGTAAAACAAAGAACCCACAGTTTCCCCCATACAGAAGCAGCAGCATGGGGATTAGGAGCCATTTCTCCCCACATCTGTGCCTGAAATTTTCCCAAAGTGCCTAAGGGATTTGGACACCAAAAGCTTGCAGGAATTAGGTGCCTAAATCTGTTAGGCAGGACTGAAAAATCCCCCCTTATAGAGTAACATGGGGTTCTGCCCAGGGGTGCATTTCACCCTATGGTTTTCCTTATTCCAGGATTCATGGGGAGTTGTCCTAGTTGAGGGTTGGAGAATTTGCCCCAAGGTGCCTACGGACTGTGAATTAACAAGATCTGGATCCCAGATACAGGCTCCTCCCCCTCCCTCCCCTGTTGCTTGTCTTACATTTCTGCGGGAACATCTTGGACACTGTCTGTCTGGATCCTGCATATGTGACATCACACCGGTAGCTGTCGCTCTTCTGGGGCCCATCAGGGATGGTGAGCAGACTGGTCCGGGTATAAAGCCCTTTACTAGTCAGCGTCTCTGGGAAATCCCGGACCCCCGCGGTCACTCTGCCGGAATTCCACTGGATTTTCGCTGACGGTGGTGAGTAGTCAGTCACCAGGCAGGCCAAGCTCATGCCCCTGGGATCGTTCCCAGTCTTGCTGCAGCAGGGAACCAGCGGGAAGATGGAGGGGTCTGTGCGTCCCACTGATAGAAGAGAAACCAAGAGTTTTAAAGCGAGAGCATCAAGAAGGGGGGAAAATTGGCAAACCATGCTATCTATCTATCTATCTATCTATCTATCTATCTATCTATCTATCTATCTATCTATCTATCTATCCCCACACATCCCATCTACCTATCTATCTATCTATCTATCTATCTATCTATCTATCTATCTATCTATCTATCTATCTATCTATCCCCACACACCCCCTCTATCTATCTATCTATCTATCTATCTATCTATCTATCTATCTATCTATCTATCTATCTATCTCCAAAGAAGTACCGCTATCTGCCAATCTATACTTGGTGGCTGTGAGTCAGTACAACTGGTTTTAACTCTGCTCTCTACAAAGTCATTGTGTACAGGGCTGGATCATGACCACCTAACATAGTGCCGGGCAGTAGAATGGCAGCGGTTCACCACAGTTAGCTGCGATCCTGCATACCTGCAGAGGTGCAGGTAAATACAGAGATATGGGGGCCCACCAGAGGCTAAGCCGGGCAGATCGGATCCAACGCACAAGACAGCGTTTGCCAACCCCTGCTCTAAAATCTGATCCCAACTCTTGCACTCTGATCTAGATCACAGCAACGGGTGGCAGGGCCGTGCGTCAGGATTCCTGTTTCCTATTGTGAACTCCAAGACAGCCATTAAATCTGCTTCTTCATCCTCCCACCCTTGGTATGTCCTCCAATTCTCGCCCTCTTCTGAGGAAGCCTGGATCTTTTCTGAGCTCAACAGTTTTCCATCCAACTGGCCGGAGAAAACCGACCAACGAACAAACAACGAGCGTGGGCAGAAAAGGAGAAGTGGGCACCAGTGAAAGTCACACCAAGGTTATTTTTTCACCCAGGCGCTCGCCCACCTGTGGGATTGTCATGCTTTCTCTCCAGCTCTAGCCTGTGGGCGGCCGCCCATGGTCTCGGTTGACAATTGCCTTGACTCTCATTTGGGGGGAGGACAGGGGCTGCCTCACAGGCACTGATCCCTCAGAGGAACAACACAGCAGTATGGGCTCCTGGAGAGAACCCCCGGCCTAGAATGCCCGGCCGCGGCCCACCATGGCTGGTCATTCGGTCAGTGAACTCTTGGCTTCTCACGTGAGTGCGGGGGGCTTTCTCCTAACACAGCGAGCCCCAGTAGGGAAGCTGTGTTTGCCGAAGAGAGGAGCCAGGACTCCTCTGTTCTCTCCCCATCCCTGGGAGGAGAGTGGGGGCTAGTGGTTGAGGAAGAGGTGGGGCTGGGAGCCAGGTGGGCTGAAGTCTCCCCTGAGCTCTGAAGAGCCGTGGGGCACATCCCCCTGTGCAGGTGCAGTCATGGGGCAGGGGACAGCGCATGGCTTCCCATGCAGGGCCTGGGTGTGCTGGGAGCCCAAAAGGGGTAACCCAGGGCAGGCTGTACCCCCCCGAGGCAGAGATGGGGGGACAGAGCTGCATCCCTCACACCCCGCCAAGCAGCTGGGATTCCGGGGTGAAAGGGCTCCAGGGCCCCAAGATCTGAGCTAGCAGGGGATGAAGATTGGGACTGAGGAGCACTGGCAGAGCAGTGGGGAGCCCAAGGTAGGGCTGGGGGGTTGTGGGATGGGAGTGAGGGGCACAAACACAGGTGTAAAAATGTAGCTGAGCTAGCAGGGACTGCGGGTCATGATCCCAAGGCTCAGCAATTAGCAGGGGCTGTAGCTCAGGAGTGGGAGACATGGGCAGAGCTGGGTTGGTAGGGACTGCAGGTCAGGAGTGAGGGGCACTATCAGGGCTGAGGGGGGCCCAGGGCTGGGCTAGGAAGGGCTGTGGGTTGGGAGTGACGGGCAGTAGCAGGGCTGGGGGGGCCAGGAGTGGGCTAGCAGGAGGTGTGGGTCAGGAGTGAGGGGCACCAGCTGAGTGAGTAGCACTGGCAGGACTCGGGGTGTAGGGCTGGGCAGGCAGGAGCTGTGGGTCAGAAGTGAGAGGCACTGGCGGTGCTGGGTGCCAGGGCTCGCCTAGCAGGGGCTGGAGGTTGGGAGTGAAGGGCACCAGCAGGGCTGGGCTTGTAGATCTAGGTTGTCTGGGGCTATGGGTTGGGAGCAAGGAGCACAGGCTGGGCTGGGGGGCCGGGGCTGGGCTGGCAAGGGCTGCAGGTTGGAACTGAGGGGGACCAGCAGGGCTAGAGGAGCCCAGGGCTAGGTTAGCAGGGTCTGTGGGTCAGGAAGAGGGTCCCTGGCAGGGCTCAGGGAACCCAGGGCTGGGCTAGCTGGGGCTGTGGGTTGGGACTGAGGGGCAGTAGCAGGACTGGGGGAGCCCAGGCCTGGGCTAGCAGGGGCTGCAGGTTGGGAGTGAGGGACACCAGCAGAGCTGCGGAGCAGGAAGCTCTGGGTGGGGAGTGAGGGGCACTGGCAGGATGCGGGGTGTAAGGCCAGGCTAGCAGGGGCTGCAGGTTGGGAGTGAGGGGCACTGGCAAGGCTGGGGTTGTAGGGTTAGGCTTGGTTGGGCTGCAGGTCAAGAGCACCAGCAAGGGTTGGAGTGGGGGCTGGGTTAACAGGGGCTACGGATCAGGAGTGAAGGGCAGTGGCAGGGCTGAGGTTGTAGGGCTGGGCTAGCTGGAGCAGCAGGTCAGGAGTCAGGGGCACTGGTAGAGCGGGGGAGCCCAGGGATGGGCAGGCATGGGCTATAGATCAGGAGTGAGGAGCACTGGCAGGACTCGGGGTGTAGGGCTGGGCGGAGTGGAGCTGTGGGTCAGGAGTCGGGGCATTGGCAGAGCTGGGGGGCAAAGGCTGGGCAGGCAGGAACTGTGGGTCAGGAGTGAGGGGCATCAGCAAGATTGGGGTTGTTGGGCTGGGCTGGATGAGTCTGTGGGTGGGGAGTGAAGGGCACTGGCAGGGTTGGGGGCCAGTGCTGAGCAGGCAGGAATTGTGGGTTGGGAGAGAGGGGCATTGGCAGGGCTTGGGTTGTAGTGCTGGGCTGGTTGGGGTTACGGGTTGGGAATGAGGGGCACCAGCAGGGCTGGGGTTGTAGGCCTAGGCTGGCTGAGGCTATAGGTCAGGATCAAGGAGCACAGGCTGGGCTGGGGGGCCAGGGCTCGGTTGTCAGCAGCTGCAGTTTGGGAATGTAGGGGACCAGCAGAGCTTGGGTTGTAGGGTTAGGCTTGGTTGGGCTGCAGGTCAAGAGCACCAGCAAGGGTTGGAGTGGGGGCTGGGTTAAC